CCACTCCCGCTGCCCTATGGCCTTGGACCGCTGCTCTGACGATGACCCCGAAACCCACCAGCTCACTCCCGTCCACCAGGTAGCCTGCCACCGGTACTGACTGACTCGGTCCCCGTCGTCCTGCAATCGGAGGCCCGCTCACGATCAGCGTTTCGCACCGTGAGCAGCCCGTCCTGTTGTTCCCCATGCCCCTGGTCCGACTGACCCTATAGGCTTCCCTCGGCCCGGCGGCGGATATATCGGTTGCAGCACGCCTGAACCCGGGCAGAATATCGAACCACCGTATGCCCAATGCCATGCCGTATCCCGGTGCTGTCATCGTGGCGCGCGCATACATCCTGCGCTTCCGGATACACTCCCGGCGCCAGCCGCACCCGAGTATCGGCTCCCATTTTCCGGGTGACGGCTGTCAATTTGCTGTATCACCAAGTCACTGATACGATCCGTGAAAGTCAACCCTGCAAAGCATACTGAACGCCGGCCGAGGGTCAGAGCCTTGCCTAACCTAAGCGAAGAACGCCAACGGTGACATCACATGCAACTCCAATTGCATTCGGATCTTCAGTCACGCCAATCGACGCCCGCCGAGCCGGCGGCCCCAACCATACCCGCCAGCGAAGGCCAGCCGGCTATCGCCTGCGAGAATAACGCGGACTTCATGAACCGGCTCGAAACCGCAGGGCTTCAAATGAAGCTGATCGTGACCTCGCCTCCCTACAACCTGGGCAAAGATTACGAAACCAGGACCACCCTGGACAGCTACTTGGAAACGCAACGCAGCGTGATCGAGCAGTGTGTCCGTCTGCTGCACCCACAAGGATCACTGTGTTGGCAAGTCGGAAACTACATTGACGACGGTGAGGTGGTACCGCTGGATAGCGTTTTGTATCCGATATTCAGAGATCAAGGGCTGAAGCTCAGAAATCGCATAGTGTGGCACTTCGGTCATGGATTGCACGCGTCCAAACGATTGTCCGGTCGTTACGAAACAATAAACTGGTGGACGAAAGGCGACGATTATACTTGGGACCTCGACCCGATCCGGGTCCCTTCCAAATACCCCGGCAAGCGCCACTACAAAGGCCCAAACGTTGGACAACTCTCCGGGAATGCCAACGGGAAAAATCCCAGTGACGTCTGGGAATTTCCAAACGTGAAAAGCAACCATCCCGAAAAAACCGTACACCCCTGCCAGTTTCCGGTCGAATTGGTTGAGCGCTTGGTCTTGTCAATGACCGACGAAGGCGACGCGGTATTCGATCCCTACATGGGGGTCGGGTCTGCCGTTATTGCCGCTCTGATGCATCGACGCATCGCATACGGGTGTGACATCGTGCCGGAATATGTAGAGATAGCAGAACAGCGCATCCAGACATGGCGCGACGGCACCTTGCGCACACGACCGATGGGAAAGCCAATTTACGACCCGTCATTGCCCCGCGGCGGCCACTGATGCAGATAGCGGCCAAGTATTCCCATCTGAACGGGGAGGAGCACCTGATCGTTCACCGGAACCAACTGTGGGATCAGGTCCAACACGTCGTCGGAAGAGTGAATGCGGCATCTTGCCGTACTAAACAATCAAGAGAATCTAGAAAGCAAGGCCGCTTGTTATTTTCTCCAACCGACTTGAACGCGGCATTCAAGCGCGAGTTTGAATCTTTGGGCTGGAAACAGGTGCGCCGAAATTTCTGGGTCACCTCGGACGAACGTCTCATGCGCCGGATCCATAACCTGCCTCCCGAGGAACAAAAACTCGCAATCGAAAACGCCGGGCATACGCCCATCGGATCGTATAACCAAACTGATTTCGTCAAAGACCGGGTCGCCGTCGAGGTGCAGTTCGGCAAGTACTCATTCGTGGCCCACGACCTGTTCGTCAAACACCTGCACTTCTACATAACCGATACGATCGACGTTGGGATAGAGATACTCCCTATGAAAGCTCTCGAGCAGGAAATGTCGTCCGGTGTTCCATACTATGAACGTGATTTGGTGAACGTATTGCGGCAGGGCCGCGCCGTTCCAGCGGTTCCGCTGGTTCTCCTCGGCGTAGTGCCGTAAGGGAAGCGTCAACCACGAACAACAGCGCCTGCCTTCGAGTACCGCGGCAACGGCGGTGGTGCCGCTGCCCATGAACGGGTCCAGCACCACCTGGGCCGAGGTCGCCCGTATCGCCCGCCGCGGGAGGTCCACCGGGAACGTCGGTATCCCGGTGATCCAGAGCAGGTCTCCTGGTGGATCCGCCAAACGCTCCCATCAGTGTGTCCGTCCAGCAGCCGGAACTTGGGCTTGGTGATGAGGTAGATCACTTCGTAATCGGGCAGGAAGTAACCGGGGTTGAAGTTGGTTCCCCCGGACCGGTGCCAGATGATGACCTGGCGCAGGGGGAAATCCTGCAGGATGTCGTCGTGCCTGACGATCAACCCGCCCTGAACCCGGTGCATGTGGTTGTAGAAGATTGCTCCGTCCGGCTTCAGCACCCGGAGCATCTGGGCGAGACAGAGGCGTTGCCACTCCACGTAGGCGTGTGGGGCATATCGTCGCTGTGGCCGTCGTAGCCGTCCCAGCAGCGGGATCCGTTGCCCGTGGAATTGAGCAGGTTGTAGGGCGGCGAAGTAACGACCAGGTCGACGGACTCGTCGGGGAGCTGTTGCATGAGCTCCAGGCAGTCGCCCTAGTGTATTCGGTCAAGCCATTGCGATAGAGACAAAACAAACCCCCGTATCTGGTGGTACGGGGGATGTTATGCCAGAGGTTGATCTACCCAACTGACGATTTTGGCGGCCTACCCCTCCCTCGAGGGCAGGTGGCCATCTCTTTGAACGCATCCTCCACAGTCACGTTGTAACCACCGCCTGCAGCCGGAGCGCGCAGTTTGCCCATGCGAGGCAACAGACCTCTATGCCACCATCCAGCAGCTGTTCTTACTTTCACGCCGTACTTCTTCGAGGCCGTAGGCAGGTCGATCAGCCCGTCCGGGAGTTCGTCGTAAATAACGACCCCCTCGTCTTTGGGGGGCGTCTCGGCGCGGACCAGCAGGTTCACGATGTCGGTCGGGTTCTCGACCGTTCGATGGGCAATACGTTCGGCAATCATCTCGGCAAATGCTCCGGCGTCAACACCGGCATCCAGCGCCTGGTCGATGACGCTGATCAGGTCCTCTTTCAGTGCGATATTGCCGAATTCTACCATAGGGGGATCCTTGGCCTGGCGGGGTCATCGCTGACGATGAGAAATGAACGCACGCTGTTCCGCACCTGACTTCCGGTCGGTCCGCCGCATTGCGCGTGCGCCAGTGCTACCTTCTCCGTGGTTGACGACCCCTAATCGTGGCACCTGGCTCGAATTCATCCGACAGCCACCGTACGAACTGTCTCGCGTGCAACAGATATGTGTTTTTGGCCGAGAGCCGGAGTTCGGACTCTTCGACAACGTCGCTATATCTTTCGAACGCTTCACGGATTTCTTGTAAAGACGACTGGCTGATTTTTGGCACAAGCATGCTCCTTGAGAGGCTGTGAACCAAACTCTTGCCCATCGGTGCGGGCGGGTATCGGAACTTCCGGTCCGACTGAATTTGGTTCTTACCTGCACCCACTGAGGCTCTCACTCTTTGCGGGACAGCATTTGGGCACCGAATACAGCCACGACGACGGCGGCGCACACTACTATCGCGTAAGGAACACACTGCCCGGGTTGATTGCCGGCAGCCGTCGATCCCACGACCACTAACGTTGCCAGCAATACCGATAACCATATAAAATCATCCGCGATCTCCTCCCAGTAGGATCGGGATCATCGGGCCGTAGCGATCCCAGTCGCTGCGGCCAAATTGGTTCACTGGAGCCGATGAAGGGATTCGA